GCATTGATCAGCGATGGGCTGACGTGCTCAGGACAGCAACACACCCCGGGCAGTTCAGAAGATACAAGCTACTGTTGCCGAAGAAATTCCTGCCGCGGAATCCTCCGAGCGCCAGGTCGGATCCGTCGAACATTACTTAGGTGACTTTACGCCCGCGGATGATCTATGTGAGCCAAAGACCGAACGGAACATATGATTTTTGACTGACCTGAAATCACTTTCGAGCAGTGTGCTTGTTGGATCAGATGGGTAGACCTTTCTAACCGTATCCTGTCCTACCACGAACTCTGTAGTGGATGGAAACTTGGACTTGTCGCCAACATGATCGAAACGAGTGTGACTACCCGTTGAAAGCAGGTAAGCATTTAGAGTATAAGCAGGCGAGCAGTGGAGTTCTCACCTTCGAACGACAGTATCAATGCTCTCCAGTGGTATACCCCCTTCAACGAGCTGCTCAGTGATATCTTTCTCAATGGTTACCGAGAAGAGTTTCTCCTGGAATTGACCGATATCGCTAGTGCAGAGTTCTCGAGGTCTTTACGCGATCCAAGATCGATCAAGACCTGCCTCCCTGTAGCACTGTGCTCGAGGAGGAACGCGTACATCGGACAGGTCCACGTCTCATTCCCGGGGAGCACAGGTAGCATAAGTGTGGCCGCGGGGCCTACCGCGCCCGTCGATGTGACGTCAGAATACCATCACATCGACCGTTGAGGTCGAAGCTGGTATACCTAGACTGTTATAGGAAGGCATGCTAGAAGATCTACTCCCTGGTGAAGTGCACTGCGAATTGTCTCTGCCTCCGCCCTGTTGAATACTTGGCCCTAGGTTTAATCTCGATTGCTGAAACAAGAGGGGGTTGACGAATCCTGCCATGAGCGAGGTAGTATGTGTATCCATTCCCCGTGCATCACCGCTCTATTCATTTCCTTCAACACCTCTTGCGTAGATCGCGGAAGGTGGTCTAATTCGGGTTGTCACCACGCTTTCGCCTGCTGTGGAAAGGGGTCCTACGAGGATTATGGCCACGCAACGGTCTCGCATCTTCACCTTGGATACAGCCTGGATGCTCCTCAAAGCCTTCTGTACTCTTATCAGGCTTATGTTGCTGCTCCCCTCCCATAACAATTGCACAAGCGTTGCCGCTGTCGAATCAGACACCACCTGCCCGCGGTCGAAGGCTGAGGTATATATTTCTGGATCGGCATGATAAATATCTTCTGAGGATCGTCAAATCAGCCAAGTAATCATAATACATCTGAGGTAAGTACGCTCATCTCGTACCATTCCATTTTGAAACCTCGAACGTATAGGCAACTGGAAGTCCACCGATGACAGTGAGTCACCCCTGGCACGGTCGTCTGCTTGTTTCATATCCGTTTGTTAGATGAAGGATGCGAGTCGAAACGATTGAACACGCCAACCACTTGTTCAAGCAGAGCGCTGATATGTGGCTAGTGCATTGGAAGTATTGTATCTCCAAACCTACTGCGCTAAATTCGGTCACTGAATTTTCAATGGCGTTGACCCGGTCCCGATCCCCAAAGACTCCGGCCACGCAGGAGCGCTGCAGTATGATGAACCATCGATGTGAGAACTCGTGCTCGTATGTCAGTTACAGTGCCTGCCCCTTTCACGCTCCTTGTTGACTCCACAGATTTGATGTCTGGCGGGCCGGTTTATTATATGCATGAAGTCTTTGTCACCCATAACCGTTATGCGATAGATCTACCATGACCGTCTCTCGCCGGTCCTCCTGTTGAGCCATAGCCTGGTATCTCTCAACCCTTTCTCCTTCTATGAGTCAAGCGTGGCCGGGCACTTCTCGATCATATGAACCAAGCTTGCGTCGTGCGCAATCAGCACGAAGACCTCGTCGTTCGAATCGAAATCTCCCATATTTCGGATCAAGTGTCGCGCTGTCTCGAAATTCTCATAGAATGGCACCCTCGAGAAGCTGCCGTCCCCGTTGGTCGCTTTGAACTGAAACGGTAAGCCATGCTTTTACGAGGAGCTCGCCTGAACATGGGTGTGGTGGACATGGAACCGTCTCGTAGGGCAGAACTGGCCTGCGTCGTGCCATGTATTCCCACCAGGAAGAGAAAAGTTATACGCGTACCAGTTTGACATGAGGCTGCCAGAATAACGGGGATATGCATTTATGTAATTGCTCTTGGATTGCTCGCTGGTTGCACGCCCCCAACACGTCCTCGCGCCTAGGCCAGACACTACACCGTGACTTTATTTAACTTCGGCATGAACTCAAATTTGAAATAGAGAAGTCGGTCGTGGTCCGCCACAGCCACGAAACCCAAAAATATGATGGGGGCTGTGCAACCTCCCGCCAACCCTCTCCGACAACCTTGACGTTGCTGTACCCAAAGCGCCGGCGCCAACGTGACATGGAACCTCGTTCTGAGCCTCTGTTCTGAGCTCCTCTCCACTGCTATGTGTATGACACCACTGTCTTGCGTCGCTCTTCACCACAGCCTTGCCACTGGAAGACTCATCTCTACAAGCATCTAGGTTCAATTCTAACCCTGAAGGCCCGGTCATTCCCTTGCCATTTACGTGTCCGATATAGGGGACTTTCCTACAAACCAACGTTTCGATCAATGTTCTTTTAGACGAACTGAAGGTGTATGCTGTGCCGAGTCATGTTGATGACTATCGCATCCAGCGGATTCTCGAAGTAGGCTGAAGCCATTATCCGAGTCGAAACCAGTGTCCGTCACATTTGGCACCACACCCAATGCAATGCTCCCTAGATTTTGAAATGCTTAAAGGTCCGCAACATGGCGTATTCCCAAGCATTACACCAGTCCAACACATGTTGATTCCTTTCTTCGCTCGATCCGCGCAGAAGAGCACCAAGAGCTTACTTCGCCGAAAGGGTGGTGGTGGCGGTGGTGGCGGTGGTCATGGTGGTGGACGAGGCGGCTCAAGCGGAGGTGGGACTCGGGGTGGGACTAACAACTCTGGCACGAAGAGCTCGCCAGGAGGGAAAAGCGGATCATCCTTTCCTATAAACTCGGCAGGCAAGCCCTTCAAAGCAAGCCCCTCCAGCAACGGTGGCGGCCCTAAATCTGTCATACCCGCAAACCAACCGTTTGCCGGCCGTGAGGTCGGCGGAGGCACACGAGGTCAGGTATACGGTACATCGTGAGTTGCGGAACTGGGTTGCCCTCGTGAAGACCATGAACTTACCGTGTCACGCTTGTAGAGCTTATGGGAGTGGTTACCCTGGCGTAGGTGGTCGCGGAGTCCAGGGTAGAGGTTTTCCCTTCGTTTTCTATCCAATTGTCTTCGCTGCTCCAGTGGGGGGTGGAGGTTATTACTTGTATCGCGAAGAAGAGGTAAACGACTTTCCTTCTTCGTTCAAGCGTTATCTTGACTGTCCAATTTCCTAGTATGGCAAAGCAGACAATTCCACTCGTCCAGGAGGACCTCTTCGCCAAGTCGCGTTTTCGGGGTCCAACTCCACGTTCCATATCGTCTCGGACAACACTACAGTCACTTGGCTCCAAACTGCCATCAATGACACTTGTCGCAGCACTAGCAGCTTCACTGTGTCTTCTCTGCTACCGTATAACTCGTCACAGTCCCCCTATCCTAGGCCGGAGGAGGCAATTCAGTATTATCGTGCAAGCAGTGTCGTGCTCATGTTGGATGGTTACAATAACACCGCCGCACTTGGGACGGACGAGACTACCATTCCTGTTCCTCTTCCCCCAAATATCGACATGAAGCTTCTGGCTTGTATCAACCAGACTATCGGCACTACCGTTCCCTTAGTGGGCGCCGCGACATCCTTCTACAATCCATCCCCCTTCCTGTTGCTTTTCGTAGCCTGGATGATTTGGTCTGTGAATTCGCTATAACCGGACTTTACGGCCTCGATATCAACCCCTCCCGCACTGACACCTTCAAGTACCCGAGGACTGGCACGTTCAACACCTATGATCAGTATATTTATATTCTAGACTTGATAATTCTGGTGATATCTCATATCTTACCGCATCATTTATTCGCCCGTAGACACCAAGCCCCATACCTACATATCTGTGTAATACCTCTAGATCCATATACCCAAATATATGTTCGATTAGAAGTCTGGTGCCGAGCGAATGTGCTTGGCTGGAAGTCGGAAAATCGTCGCTTTGGAAAATGGGTCCAGCAGAAGTCCGACGAATGTGGTCCGTAGTGGATACCATCCCCGGATAAGCTACGCAGCCGTTATTCAATCCGAGATGCATTGAGAGGGCGGAAATCCTGATGTGATCATGTAATATGTTTTATCGAAATTTCCATTTTTTCTATAGTTCCTATGGCAGTTTGCCTTTCGACGCTTTGCGAACACACAAGCTGATGACAACCGGTGATAACACCCTGACAGATAATTGTGACGGTGGAGGAGACCGAAACCAGTTATGTGAAGCCGGTAAGTACCGAATCTCTGAAGTACCTGAAGTCTGAATTCTTGAGGGCTTAAAGATCAGCGGCTTGGAAGGATGAAATGAGAATGTTCTGAGCACAAAGAATAGGTTATTTTGGACCCTATTTCGGCGAACGGGAATCCGAACTGTCCCAAATGCGGGAAGCATCACGAAGAAGGCACGGGTGGGAGGGCAGTGGCAGGGCAAAATGAAACGATAATTGCTTGTTGAGTGAGCTGAGGGTGATAGACGCGCTAGTAGTAGCTTATCAACAAGCCCGATACAGAATTTTGGTGGCGGGAAGCCTGCCTTCTGATATTTTGCTTTGTTTCGAACGCCTTTTCTCGTGGGCCGTGCACGGGCTTCTCTCATCAACCACTTTCAGATCTCCTGCCTCATCCTACGATAATCATAAGCCGCTCATTCCTCACGTCAACGGTCAAAGTTTTCTCGGACCTACACCTTCACATTGAACTTGATACTCGAAGCTTGAATAGTGGAGCGCACATGGGGTAAGAAGAACATAGATGACAAAATGACAAAAATCGACACTCATTTGCAGAGTCCGACCTGCCTGGCTCGAACAGGCGACATCAAGATGAAAGTTGGTATATCCGTTACAGTCTTGCGCTCTTCCAGCTGAGCTAAGGTCGGATGTTTGATGGAGTGCTGTGAATTGATTCCGTTGTTAGTTCCGCCACCTGAGCATCTTGCCTATCGGGAAATTCGGCTGGTGTTTCCAGGCGGATTAACAATGCATCTTTCGAATCGACGGGTGAAGGCTTTCAGGGCGGTGCAAGGTTCCGATACGTCCACGTGGCAGCGCAATTATCTCTGCCGGATTAGAAAGCCCATGAGAATGTATGAAGAGTAACCCTCAGGGCCAATGTGTCGTCGACATTTAAGGATATGTACCTCATTCGTATAGACAACGAGTGTCTAGATGCAGAGTGCCACTAAATTTCTCCGCTACCGCTTCGGGATCTACGATAAGAATATCAGTGTAATGGGAGGTCGCATTGTACTGTCAAGGTTTTAAGATGCCGTCTTCTACTCGCCTTCCGACGCTTCTGGATTGCAGTGCCTGTCAAAGAATGGATGCGGGGTTCTTGTCTAGTCGACGGGCGGCCCTGATCAAAAGAAACAAGAATAAGTACTTGCGTGAAGACTTGAATTCTACAGGCTGGCTCACGACAAAATCATCTCGGAAGTACACACCCAGAACGAGGCTAAACGATATGTGCTACTTGTAAGCTCATGCTTACGAGTGCGTCAGAGACCGGATGACTGAATCATGTGGCAACTTGGAGGAGCGCTCAGCACGTACCTGGGCATGCGTCTACAACAGGGAGGCTGTGTCCCAGCTGAAGCCTAAGCAATAGTGATCGTAGTTGGAACCACGATTTCAATCTCCTATGTCTGCGACGGTGAACGGGTCCCAAATTAGGCTCTTTAAGAAAAGGAGTAGTTTTAATGGCGGTGACTATGTGCCCCGTGGGTTTCGAAGTGTTGGTTTCGCCGTAGATACCTAGTCACACAAGGAGACCCACGGTAGATCGGCTGTTTGGGGCTGTCTCAGTATAATAAGCTCCTCCTCCCCCTCCATTGAGATCGCGTTGGTATTTACCTCCTCACTGGGCGCCACGAGCTCCTTCAAAGTTGACTCCATCGACGTCACTCGTAAACGCTGAGGCATCGGAGTAGAAGATATCCAGTACCGAGATTGGATACTAAGGCGTATAAAAAGCAAAAATTTCTCATCCTTCCATGAAGCTGTGTGCTCCTTTCGGCGACGATTTGGGATAATAGGTCAGGGAAACAAGAAGAATGTCTAATCGAACCGTGGGAAATGCGGGGCTGTGCGATTTTAACTCCATCGATTGAATCACTGCCAAGCTTGATATAAGTAGTCGCTGTAAAATCGGATGGTTGACAATACCAAGCATTCCCTTCCTTCGACCCAGTCCATTCATAGGGTATGTCCTGCCGTAATACACTTTTCGAAATTCCCAACCCGTTTGCCAGGTATAAGACTCGGAAATGTTCGTTCCCTTCTTTTCAGTACGGTCCGACAAACAGGCAAGGAAACTATATCGAAGAAAGGGCGGTGGAGGAGGTGGGAAAGGAGGTGGAGGAGGTGGGAAGTCAGGTGGCTCAACTGGTGGTACAGGCTCAAGCGGTGCTGGCCGATCTACTCCTATCAGTTCAGGTGGTTCCTCCAAGAGCGCGACATCGTTTGGACCGGGGGGCGGAAAGTCTGCGCCCATTCCGGCTGGTCAGCCATTTGCAGGTCGTGACTCCGGCGGCGCTACGAGAGGTCAGGTTTATGGAAACCAGTATGTTTGGTATCCTTCTGAGGTGGAACTACGAACTCACCCCCGTTATTCTAGGCAGTACGGTAGCGGGTACCCAGGAGTTGCCGGCCGGGGCGTTGCTGGACGCGGATTCCCCTTCGTATTCTGGCCTCTTGCTTGGGGAGGAGTGGGTGGCATTGGTGCCGCTGCGTACTTGCACAATTCAGAGGTGAGACAGAAATACTCCGCTCCGTCGAAATACTAATGTTCCTCATTTCTTCAGTATGGTCGACCTAACAATAGCAGTCGACCAGGAGGCCCTATGGCTGCTGCAACTTTCGTTTCAAGCACAGGCAACACGACGTATCGCGTGCTCTCGGACAACACAACCATTATTGCATTGATTAGTGATATCAAGGACGCCTGCTCTTTTAATTTGAACAATGACTCCAGCTCCTCAGCCCCATCGACCTACCAGGACTCGTTCTCTGCCATTCCCCAACCGGAACAGACCATCCAATATTACCGAGCAAGTTCGATTGCACTGACTCTCGATGGCTACAATAACACCGGCGCCCTCGGACCTGACGGAACCGCCGACACTCCCCTGCCCAACAATATTGACACGGCTCTCCTGACCTGTCTTAACCAAACAATTGGAGACGCAGCTCCTCTCATCGGCGGCGTACCTGGTCTCTCTGTGCCGAGCATGGGCCTTTTGGGCCTGCTCTGGGTCCTGTGGTCTTTCTCGTCCTTGTTCTAATCCATCAATCAATATTCTTACACCCTTCCTTATACTCTCATGTACGTTATGCTTTATTTCGAGGTGACGACGATAACCAGGTATGTATTCTTACCTTCATCATGTCGCTCCCGCGGTTTACCATATACATTTAGATGCTCCAACACGAACTAGCCTTTGGCTTCTTAATGATATACCCATCGTTTCGTACCCTCGATGACATACTGGTGCTTGTACACGAAATAATGAAGGCGCTCTAACTACTGTATTGCCCAATATCATATACCTTTTGTTTTGTCAAGGTGACTGTTCTATACATCGCGGTCATCCGTCGGTCGAGAGCTGAAGCGCCGTGTTCCCCGTTCCACAAGTTTTCGAGGTTACCGATTTACAAATTGGATAGAGCGACTCAAGGACCTAGACTTTCACGTATTCGGTGATCCACGAGTACTCTGGCATCAGCGTCACGCATTACCTTGTGTAGTAAGCGTGCACTTGCGGGCGTTGTTCCCGGGCGCCGAGCGCCGGGTATGCAGTGCTGGCCAACCTGGTTACGATGACCAGTTTGGTTTGCGATTCGGTCTTCCTGGAGTGAACAAATCTGTTCTCTGATATCATCTAGCAAGGCCTGGAACGGAATTCCAAATGTGAGCGTCTGCAGGTCCTAGCGTGGCGATGTGTAGCCACATTCGAGCTATTGTTTATCTCTCCTCTCGCCTCGCGCCTCATACAAATATACACAGTCGACAAAGGATCCTTGAACTTGTTTGGCCAGGTTGGGCTTCTTCGTCCGAAAGGAGTCCATTTGGACCTCTCGGCGCTAACGCTGACCTTTCCTTGTTCAGCGTAGGATAAGCCATATTGTTCTATTAGTCCGTGGCATTGCTTAGCGGCCTTTCTTATCTCGATTTACATTGTCTTCCGACTCTCGGTGGTCTCATCATATTTCGCTTCAGTGGGCGTCGCTACAGGCCCTGGAATGTTCGACACAAGCTTATACTCCTCACCATTCTTTAGGCATCGCCTTCTTTTATGCTTCCGTGATTATGGGGGCGCCGAAGGGCATGGTAAGCAAAACATCGACCTTCTCCCCACCGCCACCACCCGCGTTTCGCATATCCCTTGAAGCACCCGCAGAAGATGTACGTTCCATTCTTCTCGAAGCGCGCCTGTCCCCAGATGTTGAGGTCGTTGAGGGATTAGCGGATCTACAGGTGGAAAAGGCCGCAAGTCCACGTCCAAATCCCCTTCTCTGGCATTCTGATTCCCGCTTTGCTGAAGGGAAAAGAGCCGTTAAACCAGTCATTATCTCATTCGATTGTCCCTGTGCTGGCCATCAAGGTGTTGTTCGAGAGCTGGTGTTTCCGGGAATGGGCGAGACGGTAATCTGTGCGCTTTCAATTTATCCGTTCTAATCTCATCTAAGGCATCACAACAGCGGTTCTCCAAGGTCTCCGGCGGCAGGCGCGAAGGCCGCAGCTATTCCTTCAGTTTCTGGCTCGTATTGTTGGCAGGGCTTCCGCCTGATATCTAACCCAACATCTACCTCGCCCCAGAGAAGCAGATTAATACCCGGCTCACGGGATAACCAAGCCAATGTCGTATTCGTTCTATTGGGAGCTAGTATGGACTGCCATGGAACTGATAGGCCTGGTGACCCGATGGCTATTGCAACTTTTACTTCTTCAAGCATCAACTACCGCTTCGTATCGGACCGGACTAAGCGACTGTGGCGGCAGAAGCTAACATGGACTGCTCGCCAAGCATCAACGTTTCAACTATGTACCGCTTCGTACCATCGGACCGGACCAAGCGATTGTCCTAGTCCCAGAAGTGAACGCGGACTGTTCCGAGGTCGTAGCTTGGTCGTAGCCTGTCGTAGCACCTTCAAGTTCGGCGCCTGTTACATTTACTAGAAGCAATCAAGCACGGCCTCTGCCTGAGCATGCCATCCAATATTACCGGAGCTCTTCTGCGGTTCTGGTACTAGGTAGGCACGATGACAAAGCAAATACGAGTAGTGCGTCGTCTCTGTCATACCATCGACTCTTGGCTGGTTAGTTTCTGTGACGGTGTTTGCTGTGTATGCTTTCATTTCGTATTCAACTTGCCCTTACATATTTATAATCGTCGACCTCTATAGATCTTGATACGCTGCGAGTATCCTTAGGATATACATTTTCCGTACTCTCTATCTTAGTATCTATCTAATTCGACGACACGTCAAGGAATAGTACTCCAGAAACGAAATTTCCGGAGAGGCGATCTAATCTTATCTCTTGTGTGCGAACACGATCGGGCCGGCCTGACCGTATAATTGAATTGAATTTGCATCATATGCTCCTGCTCTTGACCCCATCAGCTCCAATAACCATGCAATCAAATTTCACCTCAACATTTTCAACCGCTTCTGCTTCTCTTAAAGCTGCTCTTCTCAAGGCGACGGATCTCGCGTCCCTCCTTCTCTGTAACTATGCGTATACCTGACTCGCCCAAGCTCGAAGCCGTGTCGGATGATATTGACAAAGGTATTCTTGAAATCCAAGCATAAACACGGTGCTAACGCACCGCAGTCAATGTTTTGAAGGGGAAGCTCTACAGCGAGCAGCCTGCATTTG